CGAGATCATTGTAGACCACTTTTCTTGAGACATGAAATTTTGACAGTTTACTGTATTTTTATCCTAGAGACAGCAATTTTAATGCACAAAAAATTTTACAACCAAATAGATCTCTCAAGAACCTACGAAACTAGACAGAAACTAAAAATTTCGTTGCCGATCCCGAGGTCTTCTTTGACACAGAACTCAGTAATTTATAAAAGTAAAAAAATATTTAATCATTTACCTGTTCACCTAAGAGAAATTGAAGAACTAAGAAGGTTTAAAACCGCTTTGAAAAGTTTTTTGTGTAAAAAAGCATATTATAGTTTGCAAGAATTTTTTGATGATAATAGTTAAGGATAACATAGTTTGTATTTTTTGTATAAAAATTTTACTATAAATAAATATTAGGAGATGCTGTTGACCAAAAATTTTATTTTGTGTTTTGTTTTTTTTAGCTACTGTATTGGATATTTTTAACTTTATGTATTTATTTTGACTGTTGTAATTACGTTATTTAGTCACTTGTTTAAATGTTTTACTCTAGTATTTAGGAACTAAAGCTTTGTCAATGGAAAATTATTTTTGTTTTTCGGACAATAATAGTACATTAAAATACAAGTTTCATAAGACGTCATTTTATCGCACGAGCCCTATATTAGAAAACGAGCCGGAGGCGAGTTTTCTAAAGGGCGAGTGCGATAAAATGTCTTATGAAACGAATATTTTATACTATTTTTTCTATTTTGGTATTGTTTAATTAAAAAAAACAAATTTTTTCTTGGAAGTTTTATTCTCATATTTCCTGATTTCATATGTTTAAGTTGGTAACACTGCATGCCAAATATAAAAATCTTCTATTATAAAATCGCGAATGACAGTTCGATGACCATCAGTCAGCCAGTGTAACCAACCTCCGATAAGTAAAAAAGGAGTGTCTCAAAGAGCTTCTTTTCGAAACTACTTTTAGTGTCGAAAAGACTTCGATATGACACCCAAATAGAAAAAGTATATTTTGATTGATTGATTGATTGAAGTAGAAGCATTTACTTCATATCATATGAATAATGAAAACCTTTTACTCGCGAGCATACGCTTCAAAGAAATAAAGTTAAAGATACTACCTGTAGTAGGTACCTGTTATTTCAATCTACGGCTCGATTGCCAAAGTAAACCAACAGATCATATGCTAACATCACTGGACTTTGACATTCCATATGAATTGGTTGTAGAAGAACTCCAATCATGGAAGAACGCAAAGCTACCGCAAGCGGACAACGCATCATTGTGGTACACAGTCACAAAGATGGTTCGAAGCCAACGAGAGGAGTCGGTCTGGGAATAAAAAAAACTCTCCTGAGCAATCGGTAAAACGCCCACAAAATTTCAAGCTGAGGTACTGGCCATGAACATCTGTGTCAAAGAGTATCTTGAAAGAGGCTTTTAGGGAGCACATTTGCATACTGTCCTACAGTCAAGCGGCTCTAAATGCTCTAGGAGCCATCAAGTGCAATTCTCAGCTAGTTTTTGAGGGTGAAAATATTCTTAAGCAACTGGCTGAGTCCGGCTGGGAGGTATAAAGTAACCCTGATGTGGGTACCAGGATACCACGGCATAGAGGGCAACGAGAAGGCGAACCGTCTCACAAAGCAAGGCGCTTTAACATCTTTTCAAGACCCAGAGCCTTTTTGTAGACTAATGAAAAGCCACGTCTCCGAAGAAATGAACATATGATAAAGGTCATATGTGATCTGAAGAACTTCGCATGAACAGAAAAGACATTAGAAAGTTGGTCTCCTCACTGGGCATTGCCTGGTGAAATAGTACCTAATAACAATAAGCAAATCAGATAACGACCACTGCAATCTGTGAATGCTCTGCTCACTTCTGCAAAAGGCTGAAATACCTTGAAGGGGATAACACCCCAAGAGGTAGGCACTTTAAGACCCAGGAAGCCGGCCTCCTCTGGGAGAAGCCTATAAATCTTGGAGACTAGAGCGGCTGGAACAAGCTATAACGAATCCTAATGCAATCTACAATCTACAAAAAAACGGGAAGTGAGAATATTTGGAAATAATTTACCAAAATAGTAAACATACATCTGCTCTGGAGCAGATGCATTTCGCAAGGAGTAAATGCTTCCAATTTGAAGCAAATACTCTGTTTTATTCATTAGAAAAAGAGTATTTGCTTTTTCCTGGAGCATTTGATTTCTACTTTGAAGTAAAAGGTTTTGCTTCAATTTTTATTCATACTGGATGAGGTATTTGCTTCAGATTTTGGTAGAAAAAGCAAATGGTCTTTTTTATTCATAGGGTAGATTGTGCCTTTTGTGAACCTTAGTATAAAACAGCTTTATAAATATTATTTGGAAATTTTGTAGCTGTAGTTGAAATTATTAATAAAACATTTATAAAATAATGTTTTATAGCATACAGTTTAATAAAAATATTTTATCGTATTTTCATAATGCCGAATACAAAACTGATTTTTAAATGGTTGTCCAACCTTCTCTGCTTTCATGGATAACGAATATGGCGACATGTTGCTAGGGATGCATGGGTAAATAAGGAAAAATATATAGCCCACCTAAATAACGTTCAACCACTCAAATTTTACTGCGAATCAAATTTTACTGATGAATTGGGGGTTATTTTTTGGAGATATTTTAACGCGCTTCAATTTTAACAAGGTTTTACAGTTACAAAAAATATTTAAATTTCACGAAAGTCTCTAATAATCATCCGTGAAGTTGAAAATCGACATAATGTCATGTCCTATGTCATTGTGAACTGATTTTATTCCTTTAGCAACGACAATTTTCTAAATTGTATTATTTTATTTAATTTATTTTGGATACGACAAAATGACCGACATAGAACCAAGTGAAATTAAACGTGAAAACATGGCGTCGACTCATAAATCATTTTTATCGCCAAGAAAATGTTTAATAAACAAATTTATTATTTATAAAACATATTTGATTTATAACGTGTTATATAATGGAGTTCCATAAAACATTTGTATTTTATTATCTAAAATGACATAGCGTAAAACTTTTATAATATTCCAGTCATTGCAATGTTGCCATGTCAAGAACAAACGTATATTTTAAATTTTGTATGGATGAAAAGTAGTAACTTTCGAACTTCATTTATAAAAAATCATACTTATCAAAAACTCGTGGCCGACAGAATTGAATTAAAAAAGTTGGAATTTAAAATTGGAAGAAAATAGTCATACTTGATAAGAGTTTTTGGCCACACCGTAACAATTCCAACAAGTTTTTAATTAAATTATATTGAATAGGTAGGTATATAGAATATTCCTTCTCTGCATTTTAATTTTTAGTTCACTGTGGTTTACCAGCAGGGTTACAGTACCTACCTAATATAGACAGTAACTTGTAACGGTTCATGTGTTTGCGTATTTGTCTAGGGCATTCGATCATAATCAAACCTCAATAATTTTTATTGAATTTCAAATAAATATTCTGGATACTTGAAGATAATATATTCAGTTTGACAACGTCGCATCGCGTGTTCTGAATCATGTATATTTGTTTTCAGATCATGATGCTAGGTGGCGTGGGTGTCGGTATATCTGAAGTAATTGCGATAATAATAAAACCCTTATAAAATACTATTGTTATATAGCCTTCAGAAAAATTGCTTAAATAACAATATTATTATTAAGTTTATCTGACTGTATTAATTTTACGATACTTTTATCGTAGAATACATTTATAAGAAAATTAGAAATTGGACACCTTATTATTATTCTATGTTATGTTACGTTATTATAAGCTAAACGTCCTTAATACAGATATATGTTGCTTAAATGACACCAAATCAGATCTTTCGAAATTAGCCTGTTCCTCTTTCCTGAAATTGCCACTTCTTCTCAATATTATCCAGCAAGAAATGCTTGACATATTGATAATTAGCAATAGGTACCTATATCAATTATCACTGGAATTAAAACTAGAAATGTCAAGATTTTTCTGCAGCGTAGGTAGATAAACTAAATTTTAGGTTAGTGCTATAACATTTTTATAAGGTTACCCTAATAATAATTTTGTATTTTGTGAGACACTTCTGTTATTTAACCCTTTTTTAAGTACTTTATTCAATTTTGTTCCACAACAATTATAAAATAGTTTTATAAGAGTATTGAACGAAACTAAATTATTGCTAAGAATGAACTGTTTTATAAATTATTCTCCTCCATAAATACTATAAAATCTTATGATAAAGCCGTAATAAATCAAAATGCATAGTTTTATAAGTGATATATATCTCTGAGCGAGGTAATTACCAAACTTATAAAATTGTTATTTAAATTAATCTTGAAAATATCTATATAGCAAAATAACAAAATAAATTTGTTTTGATGATACATTTTTTGTATCTATTGAGTCTCTTAAAAATCAGTTTTGTTACTTCAAATGCTCTAACAAATCGGAAAAAAAGCACTTCAGTCTAATAAAAATATTTCTGTGCTACTTGGGATATTATATAAACTATCAATTAATATTTATTTTCTTTGGCTAAATTCTTACAAACATTATATCTCATCCCTCCATTATATCAATTATCATTCATTTTATCCAGCTTTTGGTAAATAGTATTTCCTCTAGTAATAACAGTTTTTTATTTGTGTGATTCCTAATCTTCCTTTTGAATCGATTCTTACGTAATAAAGGTCAATTCATTATCTTGGTAAAAATAGCAGTCCAGTCATATGACTTCGCTCACATGCTTTTTTCATTTCATCTTATCAGGTTCTTTGTTTTACCCCAAAAAAAAAACTCTAATCGAAGTGAACGGTTTGATTGGTCACAACAGCTCCCACCAGCAGGTATATTTTATATATTAAAACAATTTTTCCAAATATTATGCACAAAAATCTCACAATGATGTCTCCATATTATGATGGTAAAACTGTTAAGCCCTTTAACAATGTAATTAATTTATTTGAATCAAGTAAAAATTATAAATAATTTTTCTTTTTGACAGTATTTGTTCTAAAACAAGTCAGAGTAAGGCAGCAAGGTGGCCAAATTTGAGGGAAAGCTGTTTTCAGCAGTCAACAATTTTTTTTCAACGTCACCCTTAGTGAATCAAATAAAGGATCTTATGGTAAGTATACTTTATGTCAATGTTATATTATGTATTTTATTAAAAGTTTTCGTATCCGAAATAATATTTGCATGTTTCGCTATTTCCTTGAAGTAAAGAGAATAATATCTTGGAAAAATTTTCAATCAAAATAGAATATGGAACATGATATTGATGATTTAAGAGTTTGTAGACCTTATGTATGATAATTTTACTATTAAATGTATTACGTGATTGTAAATGATTATTGAATGCATAATAATAAAAATTTACTCTCATGAAACGAAAAAAATTACCTAGAACCACCTCAGCACTAAAAAAATCCCTTACATTAAAACTATAATAAATGCATCATTGTTGCTTGAATGAATTTTGATGAGGCTTCAAAAAATTATATCTTTACGGAACTGCGGTTTAGGATAATCGTTGCATTTAATTTAATTTCAAATTTGATACGGTCACGAATTGAAAAAATGCTAAAGACCACACCGGTATAATGGGGAAGTTTGCTGCTGGGTGTTTGAGTTTTTTTTCTACTCCTCGTAGATATTTTGTAAGTTATAAATTGTTTTCTGAAGAATAAGATAGAATTATTCAAATCTTGCAAAATTTAGTTATATTCTATACCTAAGTATATAATAGAGTTGGAACTATCGTGATTATCTACCCGACATCTTGAATTTGTTTTGCTGATTCATTATTACTTCAAATTAGATCACCGTTTATAAAAACTAGAGATATTAATATTACAATGTTGAATAATTATTGAGGTGATTTTTTCAAAAATGTTTAATGTTTCAAGGTTTTTTTAATAAAGATCTTCTTCCAGCCAAATATATGTAGATTTTTTCTTATTTTAGACCAAACAAAACGACCAACCCGATGCTCAAGACGGGGTACAAACGTTCAAAAGTCTCGACGTACCGATCACCCAGCCAATTCTACGTAAAAAAGATACAACGGATGGGAAACACGAAAACGAAAAATCCGCCAATTTACCGTCCAGATTGAGTTGTGTTTCCAAAAGTCAAATGAAAGGTAACTTATCATTTATATTCACAAAATTTATCTTAGAATGAGAAAATGTGATTTTTTAATTTTTTCTACTTACTTGAGTGAAAATTCAAGTTTTGAAAGTCCAATAATCTCAATTCAATTGCTATTTTTCTATTTTGTTTGATGGACCGATAAGCTGTCTTCATACCATCAGCATTGGGATCAATCAAGGGCCGGAAATAGAAAAAAGTTGAATTTTGATTGTTAAAAATCAAATTTCAAATATCCCTGGCTCTTGATTGGGTTAAATTCGTATCTCAGAACCAATTCAAGAGCCGGGAATAGCCAGAAGTTGAATGAAAATTCAAGTTCTGAAAGTCCAATAATCTCAATTCAATTGCTATTTTTCTATTTTGCTGTTAAAAGACATGTCTTTATACAATTAGCATTAGGACCAATCAAGGGCCGGGAATGGAAAAATGTTGAATTTTGATCGTTAAAAATCCAATTTCAAATATCAGTGGGCTTTTGATTTTATCAACATAAATCTTCTCCTTTTCTGCCAAGTACAAATGCATTTACTTATATACTATACAAAGGATAAATAATCAAAACTATACACCATAGTAAAACATTTATAGAATCTATTTTCTAGAATTCCGAGAAGCTTTCCGGCTCTTCGACAAAGACGGAGACGGTAGTATAACCAAAGAAGAACTCGGAAGAGTTATGCGATCGCTGGGACAATTTGCTAGAACCGAAGAATTGCAGCAAATGTTACAAGAAGTAGATATAGATGGTAAGTTTCTTTGTTCTAGAATAATCCAAACTTGGGCAAAATTCAATTGAAACTAGTCTTTACTGATGACATCCTCTTTATCTATATATACATGTCGTTTTAAAACGTCTTCCTTCGTCGTCCGATACCTAATTTCCATCCTCTTCTATCGTCGCAATCCTCTGATGAGAGATTTCTTTCACTCATGGACTTTTGTATGATCTTCTGCCATTCCAGTTTTGGTCGTCCTCGTTTTCATCTACCTGTTGGTTGCCAGTGCAGCATTTTTCTGGGCCACCTGTCATTTGGCTTTCGTTCTACGTGTTTGTACCAGGTAAGTTGTTTCTTTTCAATGTCCTGATGGACTATCGTACCTTCTATACCCATTTGTTGTTTTATATTGTCGTTCCTTATTCTGTCTCTTCGTGAGATTCGCATGGATCTTCTAATAGCATCCATTTCAACTGCTTCTACTTTTTTCTTTTGTCTGTCTGTAATTCTCCAAGTCTCGGCTCCATATAGAAGGCTGCTCTTTATCATTGTCTCGTATATATTAAATTTTCTCTTCTTTGTAATTTTCTTGCTCCATAATATTCCATTTAGGCATCCTATTACTTTTTCAGCTTTAACTATTCGCTTTTCTATTTCTTTCACGTCTGTTCCGGTGTTGTCGAATGTGATACCTAGATACTCATATTCTTGACATTGCAGAATTTCCTGACCATCGTCCACTTCTAAGTTTCCGTTCTGGTTGCCTACACATAGATATTTTGTTTTATTTATATTAACTCTCAGGCCCCATTCTTGATATTCTTCTATCAGCTTTCTAATCATATATTGCATGTCCTCTTTGTCACTGGCCACTATGACCTGATCATCTGCAAACTGAAGAGTAAACAGGCACCTATCATTTATCTCTATACCCATTCCATGGATCTTCCTCTTCCAATTCTTCAGTCCTACTGCTACGTATATTTTAAAAAGCGTAGGAGAGATACAACATCCTTGACGTAGTCCTTTATTTACTATAAATGTGTCTGTGAGTTTTTTACCTATCTTAATTCTTGATTTAGAGTCTTTATATAGTTCTTTTAGTGCCGTTATGTAGGTGTGATTGATGTTTGTGTGTTCTAATACCTTCCATAGTCTGGATACCGGGACTGTATGGTATGCTTTTTGTAGGTCAACAAATGTGAGGTGGGTTTCCAAATATCTAGCAGATCTCTTTTCTATGATTTGTTTTAGGCAAAATACGTTGTCCGTACCAGATCTTCCTGCTCTAAAGCCGCACTGCTCTTCTTCTTCTTGCTCTTTATAATCTTCTTCAACGAGATCACGCAGGATTCTACCGTATCGTCTGCTTAGTGTGCTTGTGACTGATATGCCCCGATAGTTATTGCAATCCAGCTTATTTCCTTTTTTTGTGAATGGATGTTATAAAAGCCGTTTTTCAGTCTTGTGCAACAGGATGTCCATTTAGGCATTTATTGATAATACATGTGAGACCTTTAAAGAGCTTCTCAGTTCCCCATTTCAGCATTTCTGAGTATATCCCTTCTGGGCCGCTAGCTTTACCTGACTGAAGATTCTTAACAGTCTTTTTTACTGTTTCTTCAGATATCTCAACTACTTCTCCATGTACTTCAATATGTCTTGGAGAATCTAATATATATTGCGGTTTTCTTTCTTGTAATAGACCCTTGTAATGTTCTACCCATTGCTCTGGTTTAATAATCTGGATATTAGCTCTGTCTTTTCCTGGGTTTTTGACATTTGATATAAATATCCATACCTCTGAACATTTCCTTTCTCCTATGTAGGTGTTAATTTCTTCACATTTCTTATCCCATGACTCGTTCTTAGCTATAGTGATGCTTGTTGTTAGCCATTTCAGATATTTTTGCTTCTTTTGTTGGACTAATAGCTCTATCTCTTCGTTCCATCAGTATTTCTTGTTGGTATTTTTTTCCTTCGTTCCTATTGCTTCTTGGGCGGCTTCTATTAGACTCCTTATAATATTCTCATAGAGTTTATTGAAGGTACATTCTTCAGGGTTCAATAGTTTGCTATCGAGTCGCCTGTGATATAGAAATACAGTGCTGTCATCTCTAAAACTGCCAAATTATAATTTGTTGTATCCACTGTGTCCGTTAGTATGGCATTGGTGTTTTGTTCCTCTGGGTTCTTGTTCGTTTTCCTAAATTGCAACTTTATTTTGGCTCTTACTAAAAAATGATCTGACCCGCAAGTTATTCCTCTTAGGACTCTTACGTCGTTTATCTCTATGTTTGTTTTTTGTTTGCTTATCACATAGTCAATAATAGTTTTCAGGTTACGGGTATTCTGTATCCATGTGTAGCGGTGAATATCTTTGTGTTTGAAAAATCCATTATTTATTCTAAGATTGTGGGTCTCACAGAGATGTATGAGCCTTTGGCCATTATCATTGATTATTTCTTCTCCAAATGGTCCTACAACTGAGCTATTATCCTCATTATCTTCCAATATAAAATACAGGTGTTTGTTCTAGGTGATGGTAATGTAAGTTTTGAAGAGTTCCTCGATATCGCTTGGTCAGCAGGAGCTGGTACCGATGCCGATCAAGTATTATCTCGAGAAGAGGAAGAAAAAGAGCTACGAGATGCTTTTAGAGTGTTTGATAAACACAATAGAGGGTATATTACAGCTTCAGACTTGAGAGCTGTTTTACAGTGCTTGGGAGAGGATCTTTCCGAAGAAGAAAGTAAGTTATTTGCTTTATGCATGTGAAAATTTTAGGTAGACTTGTACTCTAGATAAATAGGTAAACTTTGTACTTTGTATCAATGAATAACCAATATTTTAAATTAATTTATGATAAAAATGCAGCAAATATCTTGACATTTTTAAATTATATGTAAATATTAAATATTTGAGATCAAAAAATTTGTAGATTAAATACTACGTATTTCGTATTACATAATAATTTAAAATAAATTGATTTACAGTTGAAGACATGATCAAAGAAGTCGATGTTGATGGAGATGGACGCATTGATTTTTATGGTAAGTACTTAAATACTAAATCTACAAACATACATTTTATTTCTTTGTAGAATTTGTAAATGCACTGGGAGAACCAGGCGACGATGATAGCTACGAAGAAGACGACGAAGAATACACTGGATTTTAGTTTTATATATTTATTTATTCTATAATAATTAATAAACTACTAATATTAAGGCAATATTACTTACATCAAACACGAATTTAGGTATAACATATTTTTGAATTTGATCTAAACCAATGATACCAAACATAAAGTTTAATGAAAATCTCGAAAAGCAGCTTCTTTGCAAATTAAACTTAGTATAGGTAAATTTTTAGTAAGTATCTTTATATAAAAAAGCACAAAATTTTCTAAAAAATTAATAAATTACTTAATCAAAAGTCAAACAAATCAAATCAAAATTGATATTTTTCTTGTAGTAGATATGTAATTAATCTATTAGGATTTTTTCCTGGCATTGTCCGATTTTTTTAAAAATTAAATTAAAATGAACAATGTAATATAGACAGTACAAATACATAAAACTTCATAATTTTAAAAATACCTAATACAGTGTTCAAAATATGATGACCAAACATTTTTGTACTGTATATATTATAGAAAACAAACTATGTATTTCAAATTATATAACTAAAATAAATACATTATAATATAATGTACCTTTTCTTATTGTGATGTGATATATTCAAATATCTATATTAACTATTAAAAAAATGCTGTCAATTTGTCCAAATAATTATTAACTTAAATACTATATACTTGGTGTTGTCCATATGAATGTGACAGAAGATAAATTGAAAGAAACCATCTTTTATTTTTGATTTTTTATTTTTCTTCAAGATTCATTTCATTTTTCATACAATTATTTACATATATTCCGAAAAAAAACTTGTTCAAATAATAAAATTAAAATTAATAAACACTTCATCGTTATATTGTGGTTTTTATTTAAGATTTTCCAATGTTACAATCAAATTTTGTGAGGCTAAATTTCGATTCCTGACCATTTTAGAGTTATAGTTGAAATAGAGCGTTTTGAGAACGTCAATAAGTTCATTTTGCACCCACATACAGCTAAAATTTAACTGAGAAGAATAAAAATTCTCTTGCAGACTCTATTTTCAGACCTTTCAAAGACAAGAAGACTAATTTTTGATCCCCTTAAAGCTGAATTTGAAGTAGAAAAACAGTAAGATTTTTCTTCCTGGCTCTCCTAGAGTGGAAATTGAACTGGAAAAGTTTTGAATTGGGAATCCTGAACATCCTAGAGTTGCAATAATTGAAATAGTGCAGTTTGAGAACGTCAATGAGCTCATTTTGCACCCACATAGAGCTAAAAGTCAACTGAGAATAATAAAAATTCTATTTCAGACTCTCCTAAAATATCAAACTCTAATTTCGGACCTTTCAAAGACAAGAAGACTAATTTTTGATCCCCTTAAAGCTGAATTTGAAGTAGAAAACAGTAATATTTTTCTTCCTGGCTCTCCTAGAGTATAAATTGAGCTGGAAAGTTTTAAATTTCGATTTCTGATCATTCTAGAGTTGCAGTTTAAATAGAGCGGGTTGAGAACGTCAATGAACTCATTTTGCACTCAGATAGAGCTAAAATTCAACTGAGAAGAATAAAAATTCTATTCCAGGCTCTCCTAGAATATCAAACACTAATTTCAGACCTTTCAAAGACAAGAAGACTAATTTTTGATCCCCTTGGAGCTGAATTTGGAATAGAAAAACAGTAATATTTTTCTTCCTGGCTATCCTAGAGTATAAATTGAGCTGGAAAGTTTTAAAATTCGATTCCTGACCATTTTAAAGTTGCAGTTAAAATAGAGCGGGTTGAGAACGTCAATGAACTCATTTTGCACTCACATAGAGCTAAAATTCAACTGAGACGAATAAAAATTCTATTCCAGGCTCTCCTAGAATATTAAACTTTAATTTCAGACCTTCGAAACACAAAAAAACTAAATTTTTGATACCCTTGGAGCTGAATTTGAAGTAGAAAAACAGTCAGACTTTTCTTCCTGGCTCTCCTAGAGTATAAATTGAACTGGAAAAGTTTTAAATTTTGATCCTGACCATTCTAGAGTTGCAGTTGAAATAGAGCGGGTTGAGAACATCAATGAACTCATTTTGCACCCACATAGAGCTAAAATCCAACTGAGAAGAATAAAAATTCTATTCCAGGCACTCCTAGAATATCAAACTCTAATTATTTCAGACCATCCAAAGTCAAAAATACTCATTTTTGAAAATGTAAAATCTCTCAAAGTTGAAATTTTTCTATGTATGCAAGGAAATTTAATTTCAAAATATTTTGGAAACCAAAAAAGCTATCGTCATCATCAAGATACATGTATAACTCATCTACTTGATTATGATATTATGTGTAACATTTAAGTTAAATTTTACCTTATTCTGACTTGAAAAAAACTTATAAAGGTAAATTAGTTACGTAAATTTCTACCTTAACTTTACAGCTGTGTTTACTGTGGGATGAAAATTAAATTCCAATATTCATAGGGTACTTGGCTAGCTATAGCCGGCTTGAAACTTAGAAGTTTAATGATTTGAGAATTCGATTTTCTCTTGATATTGTATTAATATGATCGTTGTAGTGACCGCACATATCCTAATGCTATAGTAATGGGATTTCTGCTTTTGGAAAGTATGTGTTTCATAAGTTTTGATCTATTCTGGTATATTATGTAAGGTAGCAACAACAATTTTTTTAAAGATTTGTCATTATTATATTATTAATAAAAAGTAAACAAAGATTAATTCATCTTGAAGTTTGAATAATTGTGGAACGTGATAAATTTATTATAATTATTGATTAGTCTCAAGTAAATAAAAGAAATGTGTATCATTCTTAAAAATAATGTATATATTTGCAACTCAGCGTAAAATACCTACTTAAACATGCCAAAAACTCAGGATAAGATTAGGATTTCGAGAGTTTATTCGGGGAAATAAGAGTAATTTTATTAATTGTCTTAATTTTAAGTACCTACCTAAAAATTCACCTTATTGAAATGTCTGGAAAGGATCTATGTAGGTATCATATTTAAAGAAGTTGGAATTTGAAGCATTACAATAGCTGGGTTGGAGAAGGAGCAAGATCATCCAAAAATAGACATTTCACTTAAACCTCCTCTATATATCTACATAAAAATTAAATCAATCAATCATGTACTTGAAAAAATACGAGATTAAATTTATCATGAGCCCTTCCAGGTCTTAGCCTTAATCTCATTAAATCAGGCAAATGTCGACGGTGTCAGAGAAAAATCAGCAAAATGCTTCAATATAGTTTTCGATCGTCAATAATTTTGATACTGTAATACTTGTGCATCTTAATCCCACTTTGTTTGTGAAGAACTGCCATTAGTCTTATCTATGAACTTTTGTGTTCTCAACTTTTAAGTGAATAGAGAGAGCTTGTTAGGGAAGTATGAATATCTTATGGTCAGTTTTGCTGCTGGTGGTCATCATAGCTTGTGGTGGTAAGGCCAATTCGGAGCTTACCAATATAGGTATGTATTAAAGTTTTAATCTCATAGATAAATTCATAAATACCTATTGTTGCTTATTAGTGAATTTATTTTCTATAAATACATTTTCAAATTTGCGCAATAGTTTTGAAGTACCTACCAGGCATGTGTTGATTTTGTGAAATTGTTATCTATATCTTTCAATTTACACAATAGACTTTGCATATTCAATCATATAAACTGTTTGTTTTTTTGCCATTGTGGCAAGCTGATCATGATCTTCCGAATGACACAGATACTTATAAGTGATTGATTTATAAATAGGTAATAATCTGACGGAGGTATATCCTCTGATCTGGTAGGCCGTGATGTTGCTACAAATTCTTGATTTGTGATCACAACACAAGTTGAGGAAATGATCAGACTCGGATTATATTTCTCCACTGCTTCTCTAGAGTGGGTGAATCATTCAAAGAAGTAAGAAGTTTGGTTCTAGTCTTAGGTACACTTTAACTCAATTACTACTAAACGAATCATCTTCAGGTGAAACGAGTAAAGTTCAAAATATAACGTTTAAATTAAAGGTTCTCATTCTTACTCCAAAGCCGTTGGTATTATGAACTGAGTAATAAGTAAGTTGATATTAGAGTGTAGCTCAGACACAAAGTGAGGAGCGAAAGTACCTTGATCTTATATCTTTTCTGAGTTTTTGCAGCTATCTATTCAACTTAGAAAGAGCTGTTTTTCCAGATATGCCTTACTGAAATCAATAATAACTATTCTACATTCCAAAACATAAAACCTTTCTTCATTGACATACTAATTCTTTTTTAGATTTTGATGAAATCAGATACATGAACCTGAGCGCTGATCCATGCGAAAACTTTTACGAATACACATGCGGAAATTTCAAAAACATCTACCCCCTGGAAGATGGAGATCTCCTCTTAGACCAATTCAATTTATTGGAAGACAAATTGGCCCTTGTAGTCCACGGTAATATACCAATCTATCAATAAACGAACAATGAAAATATAAAACTTTTGTAGACATTTTAACGACCGAAATCAACGAGGCCGATCCTGATGCACTCAATAAAGCCAAAGGTGCTTATTATGCTTGCATGGACAATGATTTTCATGATAGTATTCAAATGATTAATCCAGAAGTTAATGTATGTCATCTTTAAGCATTTAAATTAATACTTATTTAGTTTATTATCATATAGGTAATAGGAAAATATAAAGGTTTTCCAATAATTGGACAAACAAATGAGGAAATTATTGAATCTACAGAGCCCTTTGGATGGAACGACATAGGAGATTTAGCTGCTGAGTTTGGTATAAGCATTTTCTTCACACCTAGTCTGACTTATGATAATTTAAATGCCTCAAGAAATCTTCTTTGGGTAAGTTAATAATAGCTTTCAATTCTTTATAATGTTCGATCAATTCAGATATCTGTTGATGGTATGGAAATTCCTGTCCAATTTCGGCCGACAGCATCACAATCTTACGAAGACGCTATAGAGGAAGGTTTCATTCAAATGGCTCAGGCTCAAAATAAGAGTAATAATGGTAGACTAAGAAGTGCTACGATTTCATCTATGGAATTGCTATTTAGGAAAATGGTGTTGAAATTGAAGAGGGTTTTGGGAAGCAATCGAAGCGATGCTTACATTTTTGATAGGGTGGCTAATATATCTAATTTTCTGATTGGAATTTATCATGGAGGGGTAAGATGATTTTGTGTGTATGTTTGTACTATGGTATAATGATTTTCACTATAGTGGATTCCAAATGGAACTGTTATAAGCCCGATCGTCAATGACACAAATGCTTCAACTGTGACACTAAAAGAACTCAATAATTGGACTATTAAACATTTTGGAAATACTGTTCAGGTAATATTAATTCGATTATGGAAAACTGTTATCTAATCGGACTATTTCCACTAGTTAGATTGGGTAGAATATGTCAAGAGACTTCTACAATACACTTATGTCGAAGTAAACGAAGACTTTCTAATACTGCGTCCCAATGGACTGGAAAATTTCATCTACGGTGTTTTAAATTGGGTGCGGATGAACGATGAGGAAATTGTTAAAAGCGCTGCTCTACTTAGAGCTTTTACTTACATGGCTCCGGACAGTGACTCGGAAACTAGGGACTACTTTGAGGAATATTTGAGAGCAACCAAGAAAACTATTCTTCCAAGGTGGAAATATTGCACAAGAAAACTTATGGATGTCACTGGCACGCTTTCTCTAGGCGTAGCAGTGACTTATGAATATCAATTGAAGCATTTCAGTCAAGCTAAAAGGGAAAATGTAAGTTGAAGTTGGAGTAATAACAATCCTTGCATCATTGTTTTTCAATTTAGGCTTTATCGCTTATAAACAACCTCCAATCCACTTTTAAACAAATAATAGAAGAGACTAATTGGATGGATGATGAATCAAAAGAGGCTGCTCAAAGCAAAGCTAAAAACATTATTACACTTTTGGGTAAGAGGTTTTTTAATGTTAATGGTAAAATGTCTATGAGCTCTAGCTCTAGACCAATTTTTACATGTAAGACAATCTACTCCCATATACGTGTCGGACTGACTTTTGATTGTTTCTATAATAATTATCCTTGATCCAAGCAAAATGTTCTATTTTTTAGCTTATCCCGAATTCATAAACAATCCAGAAACTCTGGATTACTTCTACGAAAATTTGCAAATAACAACTTGGAACCACTTCGAGAATGCAAAGAACATTCGAGCGTTTCAACAAGCTTATACGTTGAACATGATTAAGACTAGAAATAGGAAAACGTAAGTAAATCAATTTATTAGGAATAATCATCAATATACCTGTTTTAGCTGGGAAAAATCTCCATTTGTTGCCAATGCTTATTACAATCGTCAGAACAATAGAATTAGTAAGTTTCAATGAAATTTGTATCAAAGTTTTACTAACCAATCAATTCTGTTTCAGTATTTCCAATAGCCATGCTAAATCACATATTCTTTGAAGGATCTGCAAAGTATGTAATACTTAATATTAAAGTGAAAAATAATTAATTTTTTGTTTGAAGTATTTTGGACTACAGTCGCATCGGTATGATAATCGCCCACGAAATAACCCACGGATTCGACAGACAAGGATTCTTATACAACCCAGAAGGAGTAATCGAGCCTTGGTGGTCCAACGAAACTATTGTCAATTTCAGAAACAACTCTCAGTGTTTCGTTGATCAATATGCCAGCTATTTCATACCAGAAATCAATGGCACAGTAAATATTATTAATTATTAGTGATTAGATATTTTAGGTTCAAGTTTCAGATTAGTGGAACTGGCAGCTTGAATGAAAATTTGGCTGATAACGGTGGACTTAGAACGGCCTATAGAGCATTCAAGGAAAAGATTTTATCGACAGTTAGGAAAAGTTATCCAGTTTTATTAGGCTCAAAGGAGTTTACGGCTGAACAAATGTTTTTTGTTGGATATGGAACGGTAATATAATATTATACTTTTAACTAGATATTGAATTCCTTACTTTTGATGTAGGTACTATGTAGAGGGTGGTATCAGTTTATATACATATAGATCAATTTGTATTGAAAAATTCTTATACTTACTAGGTATTCCGTTTTAGATGTGGTGTAGTTCCGAATCGATTTCCTACCTGAAATCGTTGCAAACATCTTGTGAAACGACTTCGACTTGTCACGCCCGCTCTCAGATGAGAGTAAACGGAGTGGTATCCAATATGGAAGAATTTGCTGAAGCGTTCAATTGTCCGGCGGGCAGTCCCATGAATCCGGACACCAAATGTCGGTTATGGTAGATTGAATATGTGCAAACTTAAATACCATATTTTTTCTTTTAATGTAGATTCAAAAAAAAAAATAGATTATTGCTCTAATGAATAAATTATGTTCTTAGTTCTAGAGTTATTTTTACTTTGACCTTATGTTAATTTAATCTCCATAGTGTTTTGCTGTTAAGTAGGTACAGTCTTTCACATTGCACCCTGTATTGAATGTAAAGGGTATGATTGACTGTTGAGCCAAACTTTACAGTTTATCAACTTTCTACGTTTTTGGATCCTCCTCCATCAAATCCAGCAATATATTGCAGTGATGGTCTTATTCGGTGTCCAACTGAAGTGGAATATGGCCTTTTCTGCGAGTTTTTGAAAAAATATTATTACTAAATCCACCTCCATTTTGAGCTTCTTCATAGAATACGATTCCAAATCTCAGAATAATTTAGTGTATGGAATTTGGGGGATCCCAAAGAACCATTAGGACACAAAATCTCAACAACAAAAATTTTGAAATCTCATCGTTTTAGTACAGAGGTAGCTATATTATGATTTAGATTTTGGAAAACTTTGAAAGATCATAACTAGTGTATGGAGTTTGGGGAATCCCAAAGGACCATTAAGACATAAAATCTCAACAAAAAATATTTTGAAATTTCATGGTTTTAGTAGTATGATTTAGATTTTGGCAAACTTTGAAAGGTCATAACTTTTTTTCTATTATAGTTGGAAAACTGAAATTTTCAGCGATTCTTATTCCAGTAGAGGACTACAATCCCTGAAAATTTCTCATACGGACTTATAGTTCCAGAAATAAAATCGTGTTAAGCAATTTGAGTAGTGATGCCGCGAGACTCGAGACTGGTCTCGTCTCGTCTTGTCTCGACTTTTCGAGACGAGACTGGCTTTTGGTCTCGTCTCGTGAAGTCTCGACGAGACGAGACCAGACTCGCGAGAGTCTCGCGTAGTCTCGAGTCTCGAGATTACAATTGAAATTTTTCTTCCATAGCTTTATTATTAGACTATTCTGGGCTATTTGAATATGAAATCAGTAGATTTTAATACTAACAATTAATGGGATGATTTCTACATACCTACTTAATTTTCAGATTCCACTTTCGGTTTAGCAAGTAGTAAGACCAATTTAAAAAAATGTTTGAGGCATAAGCACTTTCGGCTAAACTGGAAATTAGATCTGAAGATAAAGTATGTAGAAAGCATCCCATTAATTCACAAAAAAATTACAGGATGATTATTTTTTCAGAAACTGTTTTGTCCGACATTTTTTTTTTAATTTGACATTCATGTTTTTTCAAACATCACGGATACTCTTAACTGTGATTTTTCATTCTTTGAATAACTGCTTTTTCACTGTGGCAGTGAACTTCCGTTATAATACATAAATACTTGGAAATCTGTCGGAACAATTTAGAAATTACTGAAAAACTTCTAGAATGCTCCAGAACTCTTCAAGCCAAGTTAGAACCCTTTAGACGAAGCTCAGAATTATTTCAGGTAGCCTAACGCCTATGAAATAGATAAAATGAGTACTTAGGTATTAAATAATAGGAAAATATCAACAAGAAAATGTACTTTCTCTACTCTTTCAATTCAAATTATTGAATTTTTATAATTTTTTCTATTCCAGGCTCATGATTTTTCCTCACTTCTTTATTCTAAATTCTTAAGTTTCTTTTGGCTGTTGACATTTTTTTTTCTAAATTCTTGAATTCTCATTATTCCTGTATTTTAGAATTTCAGGCTCTTGATTTGTTTTTTTTTTCAGTTCTGTATCTTCAAATGGATTTTTTCCAAAATGAATATTTCGTATGTTTTCGCTTAAAGAAATCAAGAATTTGAGACCCTAGCATTTGGAATAGACAAAAATTGAAAGTTATAAAATCAGTAATAATAAAAAAATATTAGTCCTGAAGACGTCTTTAGGCAGACGTCTGAAAGACGTTGGGTTTTGTAACATATGACACCAAACTTTTCGGTAATAACCGATGCTTTTTTTTATCTCAATATAGGGATCTTTAATCCTCTACTGAAAGTTATTCTTAAGTTTTATTAGAAAAATGCATACATTTCGCGACTTTACCTAAAGTTCAAAAATTTCCAGATTTTCAAATAAATTTTTTGTTTTCCAGCTGATAGTAAGGACGTTTCTTTTATTACAAGTAACTTTTTATTCTCCACAAAAAAGTTCTCTTGAGTTTTTTTGATATAATGTATACTTTACGAAATATTCAATAAATTCGAAAAAAAATCAACATGGAGGCCATTTTTTTCCAAGTTCTACCAATGCGACAAAGTGCGATTTTTGAGGGATTAATTATGACCGTATATTGACTACTCACTTGAGTAAAAAAATGACGTGTTTGAGTGTTTTTTTTTTTAAATCGACCTTAAATACCCTAAAAAGTATCTGTAAACCAGCTTGAAAATGTATAGGTACATCAGAATCCCACCTTTAATGGAATCCCACGAAATCTTACTGGCAGTGGCGTAACTACCGAGGGGGCAGAGGGGGCCCAGAGGCTCCGGGGCCCCATCTGAGGTAGTAGTCGAATAACATATTCGTACGATTCTCGAAATAATGTCTTACGAAACCAGAGTGTAACCAAGAATATACGAAAATCATTTAAACTTTTGCTTACTTACCTATCTATTTACCAAGGATAATACACACACTACTACTACAGGATAGCCGATCCTCACAAGGCCTGTGTGGAACAAATCTGAAGCCCCCCACCACGCCAAATCACCAGCTGTGACGTAGGCAGCATGTTTGTTTCTCGCCTTGACGTAGGCTGTTTGCACTACAGGTTATGATTCCGCGGGCTCTTGCTTTATGCATACTTGGTTTTATTACATTAAATAACAATCTAAAACAACTCTTTTTCAGATATCGTTTTCATCTTCCTCTTTGCCTATTACGTTAATCAAAATTAATTAATAATTTTCTTCATTTTAAATTCTACACTACGACGACCATTGCAAACAGCTAACGACTTATTTATGACGTCGGAAATGGTGACACACCAATATGGCGGGGATTAGCAGAAACGAGGCCGATAAGCAATTCTTAGTAGTGTGTATTATCCTATTTACTACCCAAATTTTTTTGGGAAATGTAGGTATTTCGCAAAAAGTAAAATCGCCCCCGGTAGTGTTAGCTGTTAGCGTGGAAGATGGTAGGCGGTTTTTGCAAAATAATTATTTCCGGACATTCAATTTTTAGTTTTACCAGCAGGGTAAATTTGCCAGAGATGTTACCAGCCAGTCCATAATTCGGCTCTTAGACAAACAGAATATTGCAGTGGTGCATCGTAATTGGGCCTCGCCAAACCACTCTGCCCCCAGGTCCAAAGTCTGAAGTTACGCCACTGCTTACTGGAATCCAATAGAATTCCTCGAGGCATTCCATGGAATTTCTTGTGTATTTTTGGAACTATTTTGAATGCTAGCAAGAAAAGACTCTGAACAAAAAAGTCTTGTTTTTCAGTTTAGCCGCCACTACATAGGTACAAAGTAAAAACATAGACTTATCAAGCAAACTAAGGAATCCCATTGAAATCCCACTGGAATCCCATTGGAATCCGACAGGATATCCACGAAATCCCACAGAATTCCACTGGAATCACACATGCTTGTACACTATAATTCCAAGATGGTTTCCCACTTTTAACGGAATCTCATGAAATACTACTGGAATCCCTCGATATCCTACTAGAATCTTACTGAAATCCGACGCAATACTACTGAAATCCCACGGCATTAAGAACATCAACTCATCAGGCAAGTAAGGAATCTCATTGGAATCCCACTGGAACCACACGGAATCCCAAAAAATCGCATATGCTTATACCTACACCATAATTCCAAGGAGGTTTCCCTTCAAGATTTCTTCAATTTCTTTTCCAGATTAGTCATTTTTGTAGAATCGATTTTTGATTATTTCAGGCACTTCAATGTTTTTAATTTTTCAAAAAAAAAAAAAAACATTGGCGAAATCATACATTTTCCTTGTTCTCTCATTCTCGAGGTTAAAATCACTTGGGAAGAATTTACCGTCACCTAAAAAAGTAGTGGGAAAGTGAAGGCCGTTCGAGAAAGTACCTACTGAAGAAGTCCAGAAAGGTTAGAGAAACTAAGTTCGAGAAAGTACGGAAATTATTATTATTTGAAAAATTTGCGAAATAACAATTACTCCCTAAGAAAGTGTATAGAGGAAATGAGAGAAGACTTAGAAAATTGAGAAAGAAATTCAAGAAATCTTTTGCAATCTCTTGAATTTCTTCTCTTTATTTCTCATTTTTTAGTATCAATTTTTGATTATTCCAGGCTTTTGAATCCCTGTTTTTTTCTAAATTTATTTTTATAAAAAAGTAAGAAATATTCAAGGACCTGGAATAGTAAAAAAGTAACACTGAAGAAATAAAAAATATAGACGAGAAATTCCAGTCTCTCAAATGTTTCTTGTTTTCATATAAAAATAAATTTTGAAGAAATCAAAAATTCAAGAACCTGGAAAAATCGATTATCATCGAGAAAAAATAAAAAAAATCTTTTGCAATTTCTTGAATTTTGTTTATTCTCTCGTTCTCAAGGGAGAATCCGCCTGGTAAGAATTCACCATCACCTAAAAATAGCGCTAGGAAAGTAAAAAAAGTCCGAAGAAGTTACTGAAGAAGTTCAGAAAAGTTAGAGAAACTTCAAAGAAACTCCGGGAAAAATATTTAAAATATTTACCCATAAGGATGATTCTTTGCAAAATTTGGGAAATACCAACTACATATTATCTAAGGAAGTGTATAGAGGAAATGCGAAAAGCCTGAAAAATCTGAGGATTATTTAAGAGATTACAAAAGATCAGGGCACCCTTTGAGAAACCCTAGAAAAATAATTGAAAAAATCCTTCTCCAGCATTATTCTTGGTAATATGAAGAGGCAAATGTGAAAATTCACCTTCGTATTCTACAGGTTATTACATAGGTATTTAATTTAATTCTCTGACATGTTGTCAACGGGATATTTTCATATATATGTTGCAAATTTCAATAAATATTAAAATGCCAATAACTTTCTTAAGAATGCCACAAGATTTTTTAAATTATTTTTCTGGGGTTCCTTGAAGGGTCCTTCACCATGTAGTAAAGAGTTTTTACGCTATTTCCCGGACACCCTGTATAAATAGAGACCAGACGAGATCTCTCGAGACGAGACCAGACTTTGGCACTCGAGACCGAGACTAAGTCACGATCTGTCTCGAGATTTCGAGACGAGACGAGACCAACCTTAAGTCTCGTCTCGCGGCACCACTAAATTTGAGGTGATTTATCAATTTTTCTGAGTGCCTTTTTTCATATAATCCTACTCTAAATTTCAGAATAATTTAGTGTATGGAGTTTGGTGGATCCCAAAGGACCATTAGGATACAAAATCTCAACAAAATATATTTTGAAATTTCATCGTTTTAGTACTGGGGTAGCTACCTTATGATTTAGATTTTGGAAAACTTTGAAAGGTCATAACTTTTTTTCTATTATAGTTGGAAAACTGAAATTTTCAGCGATTCTTATTCCAGTAGAGGACTACAATCCCTGAAAATTTTAGCTAATTTGGACTTATAGTTCCAGAAATAAAATTGCGTTAAGCAATTTGGGGCGATTTATCAATTTTTCAAGTTTCTTTTTTCATAGAATCCGGCTCTAAATCTTAGAATTATTCAGTGTATGTAGTTTGGGGGGTTCTAAAAGACCATTACGACACAAAATCTCAACAAATTTTTTTTGAAATTTCATCGTTTCAGTACTGATATAGCTACCTTATGATTTAGATTTTGGAAAACTTTCAGAAGTCATTACTTTTTTTCTATTATAGATAAAAAGCTGAAATTCTCAGCGATTCTTATCCCAATAGAGAACTACAATCCCTGAAAATTTTAGCTCATTTGGACTTATCGTTCTAGAAAAAGAATTGTGTCAAGGAATTTAGGGTGATTTATCAATTTTTCAATTTTTCTGAGTGCCTTTTTTCATAGAATCCGGCTCCAAATCTCAGAATTATTTAGTGTATTGAGTTTGGGGGTCTTAAAGGACCATTAAGACACATAATCTCAACAAAGAAATTTTTGAAATTTCATCGTTTTAGTACTGAGGTTATGATTTAGATTTTGGAAAACTTTGAAAGGTCATAACTTTTTTTCTATTATAGATCGAAAGCTGAAATTTTCAGCGATTCTTATTCTACTAAAGGACTACAATTTCAGCTCATTTCGACAAGTATGAGTTTTCGATTCTTATGTGTTTTACACCAGATAAGAAAAGTATAAAACGATGGTAGACTTTTGGAGATGGACTTATCTATAACCAAAAAATCCGATGAAGCTATCATTGTTTCCTTACGATTCTGCAATATCTTGCATATCTGAATAGGAAAAAAATAGGTCATTGATTAAAGAGGTAAAACGATGAATAATTAATTTTTACCATCAAAGCCTTGGAAAAATACAAATTTGAAAATTATCAACACAGCACCTTGATTGATATTTAAAAGTACCTGATCGTTAATTGTTAATCTCCCCCCGTATTATTTACAACCGCAACTCATTTTGCAATAGCTGTAGTAAGTGCTAGATTATTTATTTGTTATATCAACATAAGAATATTCAACATTTAAGCGACACACGCCGACGAAGATACGTTCGCGTCGAACGCCGGGTTAAGTTTTTCGATTGCGATTTTTTCGTGAAAGTGCAGTTTAATTCTCGTCTATTGCAAATTTAAATTTTTAATTGCAGTTTACGCAACCCGAATTCGAGAATTCATTTTTCTTCGAACAACCGCTTTAAATTCGGCTTCAACAGCTCGAAAATTGCTGTCGGGAAGTTGAGTTTTGGTGCGGTATGGTTAGTCATTACAACCTCCAAGGTAAGTCTAGATCTCTGAATAGGTATTTGGTTTGAAATTTTTCAAAATTCAATTTATAATTTTTTAAATGGTTTGTCATTGATTCAACACAAAAAAAATGTGCATCAAAGTAATGTCTGGAAGATTAAGCCACTATAAAAAAAACTAAATCAACGTGACCTTGTTAAGGTTTTTTAAACTTGGATTTTGTTTTCAACAACAACTGATTTATCACACGATGGTACCTAACTTGTTATTTTTAACATTAGTATAAATTAGTATCAAAAAAACACTTTGGCACGCTCTAAATTGATTCTAGTTCCAAGCAAGAGAAAATGCAATAATCTTGAATCATGATGCTCTACACCATTGTTAGTTGAATAACAGTAGATTATGATTATCTACACTAGGAAAAACGGAAATGAAGCCTTAAAAAAAAATCCTTGATCTTTATACTACTGAAGATCAAACGATAATTATTATTGACAAACTATAAATTATTATTTTTGCTATTTCCCAACGATACCTAATTAATCAGTCTAAGTACTACTAGCTAATGGGGTAACCAATAAATTATTATGATAATGGGAATTTTGCTATAAAAATCTGTCCTGTCCAATAATTCATATATATTTTTTTTCAACCCCTAGACAATAGCAATAACATTTCACTAAAAAAATACTAATAGTAACAGTATTCATATTTATGATTAGTATAAAAAACTATTACGTAGGTATTTGTGAGCTTTTAGGAATTCCAGATAAAATGCAAAAATAATACCAACTAGGTCATAAAGATTATGTTATCTATGATTATGAAAGTAGTAATTCCCATTCCTTTGATTTTTTTTTTAATACTGGATCAAACCAGTCTATGGTACAAAAATTTGTTGTACTAGTTGTACATTTGCAAAATAAATTTTCTTAGAGTTCCTCTTCTTCTTCTCAGTTTCCTATGGCCCATGGTCGTCTCGCAACAGTCAGCCAGAATTCCATCAATTGTATCCTCAAGACAGCCGGATTCTGCACTCTTTTGGCGGATACTTTAGTTTTCAAAATAGGATCAGATGGGTAATTTTAGCTGTGGCGTCTCCAGCTGGAGAATTGCAGCGCTAGGAAAATAGGACATTCGTTTAGTACCTAGTAGAAAACCTTTTTCTATTAGATTTCAATTACACATTACACCTATCATGCAATTTAAAGCTCAATTCCCAAAAGTTAACAAAGACTAAAAGCGTGCACATCTCCAAAAGCGTCAAACATCCACCGCATCTGTTTAAATATTTATATGATGCTTCTCAATAAAATCCATCACCACAGCAGCCTCCCTACTAGATGGATTCGCCAAAATTTCTTCCATCTGAATCGGACCCTCCTTCATTCCAATCAAACTTGTATACAGCCTGTCTGTCAGGTCTCTATTAAGCTCACAGTTCAATAGTACGTGATTCAGATCGCCCACTTCTCCACATTCACAATTCTCACTGTCCTGCACACCAAGTTTATGAAGGTGTTTTGATATGAGGCAATGTGCCGTTCACATTCTGCAAAAAAACACTAGCTTTCTGTCTATCTATTTTCTCTATTTCACTGAACCATAGTATTCGTAGAGGTGCCTTCACTAATTTGTGATACTGGTTCCAATGATTTCTGTCCTTATTGGAATATTCCACAGCCCATTCCCTCCATGTTTCTTCCTTAGTTATTCTGGCCAGATCCTCATAGTGCAATGTTTTATTTACAAAGAGGTTAACCCTTCGGCCCCTTCTTGCAAGGTCATTTGCCTTATCATTTCCTGTTATGCCTGAGTAACTAGGCACCCATATCATTTCAATTTCCACATCCCCATCCTGCATTTCTAGAATTTTTTTTTTCCTAGTTCTTAACGTACTTCTATCTGGAGCTCTATGAATACCAGCTCTGACTATTTTTTTGATGGCACTCTTGGAATCCGATATCAGGACAACGTTTCTTTTATCATTTTCCAAGGTATTCAAGGCTGCATAGATGGCCAGCACCTCTGCTGAGCAAATATTAGTTGAATCCTGACATTTTCCTATTATTGAAAAGTTATTTTTCTACGAGCGTGCGGGAAATGGTTCTTCCCACACGATTTGCTGTGCGGGAAGACTGTTTTCCCGCATCGGTGCGGGAAGAGATTTCTTCCCGCACTTCCCGCAGTTTGAAATAATCATTGTGACATGGAATTGTTTGTATTGTTGATACACCTATACCTGTGCATTTACCTTTTTATAAATACCTTTTAATACATTTTTAATTCTACCTTCTGCATAATTGCGTTTTATTTAAATTAGACTCTTCGTAACATCAGCTTTAGTATGCTCATAGAAAAAATATAGTTCCTAACTCTTGCGGGAAGAAATTTCCGCACTCGTTAGGAAAATAGCTATTGTGTTACTGAAAACTCCAATTCCGCACTGTCACTATGCTGTTATAGGGTCCAAAGATGCATCTGTGTAGATGTTGATAATCTATATATTCCCCCAAAATTTCCTGCAGTTTTACTTGAGTAGGGGCGGATGGGAGCATAATACCGACCCGGGAAACCGTTGGCACCGGCCTGGCCTGCCAAATCAGTATTTTGAAACAATTTTATGTATTTTTCTAAAACTAAGTTTTTTAAGTATTAGGTACCTATCTAACGGTAAATGATGAGGTGAGATACGTAATATGAATAGGTACTCACGACTGACATTGAAATTATGAAGAAAAAATCTCAAACAAGTATCGTTTTACTTTTTTTGTCCAAATTGAAAAAAATGCTGCTGGAAAGTGTTTTGGAACGTTCTAAATGGTTTATTGAAGTTCTAAAGGGCTCTAAGTTGAAGAATTCTGGAGTATTCTAAAAGTTTTGCAGAAATTTCTAAATTGTTGTGACATATTTTTAAGTATTCTAGAGACCTATTGAAGCTCTAAAGTGTTCTAAATTGGTTCAAAAAAGTTCTAAAAGGTTTCCAGTTCTAAATAAGGATTCAATTTAGAACTTTGAAATTTTTCTAAAATAACTCTGAACTGAACTGAATAACTGTTTTGGGGTATTCTTAAATGGTTCTGAAATTTCCGAAATTTTCTGAAGCGCTATACAGAATGCTTTTGGAAATTCTGAAGTCTTTTGAACTTGAACAAAACACCTGTCAAAGTTCTAAGGTGTTCTGTAGCATTTCAAATGGTTTCTAGTAACTTGTAAATTGAATGAGAAACGAATTCTGTGGGAAATTTTTCTAGACATCTTAAAGACGTCACTAAGATGTCCACAAGCGACATTCAAGACGTCTTGCTTAGGTCTTTAAGGCGTCTCAAAGACATTTTGAAGACGTCGTAATGTTACAAAACCCAGCGATCTGCCTAAAGACGTCTTTAGGACTAAGACTTCTTCAACGAGATGAGATGTCTTAAAGACGTCTTGGATTCTCTTTTCAATACATAAACCATTATTCAATTTTAGGCTTGGTTGTACCAAATAGTTGTCATTATGGGCATTTTCAAAACAACTTCTTCTAGAGGCGTCTTTTTTCAGACGTTCAGTCATGATGTAGACCTAAAAAAGACGTCATTAAGACTTTGTGTGTTGTCTGGATAGCTGACCATCTCGTATCTATTATCTATTACTCTTGTAACGGATGTTCATCAGTAACATGACATTAAGTTGGGTATGGCCTCTACCTGGGCCCGTATTCTCGTCACCGGGGAACAGCGTTCCCTCAAGAGAACGATTGCTCTTTCTTAGTCGCCAATATTGTTATTTCCATAATACTGACAAAGACAGAGTAATCGTTCTCTTGAGGGAACGCTATTCCCCTGTTACGAGAATACAGGCCCTGTTGGGAATCCCACAGCTACGTGCAGGGTAAAACCGGCGCCACCTAGACTAACAGGAAGGCAGGGCCTAGAAGCAGCAGAAGATAAATGCGTTCGATGCAACCGATACGTAGAAATCCGCGCTCACCTTGAGTCATCACTAGGGGCTAGCAGAAAAATGCCTCAAATATTATTTTATTTCCCAGTGAAAGAGTATGACTGAATTTCTTGATAAAAAATAGTTTTTAAAGATGAAGAATTTTATTTTTCCATATATGCTTGAACCGGCCCGGAAGTAAGCGGCCCTTCGGGAAACTTCCCAAAATCCCTGCTGGCCCATCCGCCCCTGTACTTGAGCATCTAGGCTATCCTTTTGTATGTTCGAATCAACCCATTCTATTTTTCGTATTTGAGCTTCCATATCTTCTTCGTAACATGGCAGATTATGCGATTTTTCTAATATTTCCATTTGGGTAAGCACAAAATCCGCTCCCTCCATAATCGCCGGAGCGCCCTTGGCCCGCCAAAAAGGAGGGTTCTGGTTGTATACCGCATAGAAGTTGATTATTCTCTTGTTTGTCTCATCCCCTTTTAGAGCCATTTTCCTGAGCATCAATCTTGTACTAAGAAGATTTCTTCGTTTAGCCAGTGATATTTCAGCCGCTTCGGATAACAACGCCATTATGGGTGTACTCTTCATACAGCCAGTCACCCCTCTCAGGGCTTGGTACTGGATGCGATCCAATCTGTTCATATTCATCTTACTCATGTGATACATGGCTTGACAGCCATATTCAAAGTGGGATCTAACTAGTCCTTTATATATATTCAGCAAAATGTTCGGGTCTGCGCTCCACCATGTCCTTGTGATTGCTCTCATAATATTGATACCTTTCTGCGCCTTATCACTAACACCTGATCATTCCATTTCAGCTTTCTGTCCAATATTAGTCCCAAATACTTGTATTTCTCCACCAATTCAATTTCTCTATCTGACACCCTTATATTTGTTCTTGGATTATTTCTGTTCCCTTTGGAGAACAGCATCGCTTTAGTTTTTTCCGTCGATATGTCCATGCCACCCATTCAATCTATTCATCGCAGCTTGCACCTTCCTAATTCTTTCTTCCACCTTTTTCCCAGTCACAAACAGAGCAATGTCGTCCGCATACTGAAGTGTACTTACCCCCCCTGAGACTACTT